ACAGAGCAAGACTTCGTCTCAAAAACTAAAATAAAGAAAATGCAGAATGTCATGAAATGCCTATGTAAAAGGATATTTGTTAAGAGTTTTCTAAAATTTGACAAAAATACTAAACATATATATAGATATATACGTATTTATATAAAACCAACTATGAACTGTGCGGGTGAAAAATAACTTTTCTGACTTATCACTAATAAAAAGCAAATACTGATCAAACACATTAGAGAAAAAACGAAATTATCTTTCTATTCTCTTTAAAAAATATTATAAACTATCATCGTGAATTAAAGATTACATAGCCAACCCTTTTAACAAGATGGTGCCAAAAGCGAAGAAGGAAGCTCCTGCCCCTCCTAAAGCCAAAGCTTTGAAGGCTTTGAAAGCCAGGAAGTTAGTGTTGAAAGGTGTCCACAGCCACAAAAATAAAGAAGATCCACAGGTCACCCACCTTCCGGCAAACCAAGACACTGTGACTCCCAAGGCAGCTCAGATATCCTCGGAAGAGCACCCCCTGGAGAAACAAGCTTGACCACTCAGCTATCGTCAAGTTTCCCGCGGACCATTGAGTCTGGAGTGAAGAAGATAGAAGACAACACATTTGTGTTCGTTGTGGATGTTAAAGCCAACAAGCACCAGGTCAAACAGGCTGTGAAGAAGCTCTATGACATTGATGCGGCCCAGGTCAACACCCCAATTCGTCCTGATGGAGAGAAGAAGGCATATGTTCGACGGCTCCTGATTACGATGCTTTGGAGGTTGCCAGGAAAATTGGGATCATCTAATCTGAGTCCAGCTGGCTAATATGTATATCTTTTCACCATTAAAAAAAAAAGTACATAGCCATGTAATGTAGGGGGAAAAAGTATGAAGAAGTATGGCTGGCAGTTACTTAATTAAAATATTACTTTAAATTTTTGCATTGTTTGTAATATTTTTCAACTTTTAAAAATTTATAATGTTGTGATTTGTTTTAGACTAAATATATATTCAGTTGTGCACCTACTTTTTTATCTAAAATTGTTATTCTTTATCACACTAACCAAATGTATATAAACGTAAGGCCCCACAAGATCTGAATCTGTCCCTGTTATCCACTTTTCTCTCTACCTAATTGGTCTACTGTGAGTGGGAGACCCCGAGGGAGACCTGCAAGTGCTGAGGCAAGGGTCTGAAGCCTCAACCTGTTTCCATATAAATATAGAGCTAGAAAAAGAATTAGAGCTATAGCTCCATAGTTATTCCTATATATATATAAAACCATGTATAATCACACAGTAATTCACATATATATGCTCAATATAACCTTTTGAGTTTACTAATGATTATCTGCTTATGAAACATGGAACTGAGGTGACATGGTGAACAAAGTGATCCTAAGGCAAGATGCTCTAAGCCCTCTGTCACACCCGCATAAGGGCTGCCAGAGGGTGCCTCGGCTGTGCGGCAGCACCAGCGCTGGGAACGCGCCCACTGTTCAGCCAGCTAGGGAAGGAGACGTCCAAAATGGCTGAGATGTCCAAAATTCCCTCCTTCCTGGGGAAGTTAGGAGAAAACTCCGCTTCTCCAAGCTCCTGTGCTACCACTGTCAGGTAGGCCCGCAGACATCGGGGGCTTAACTGTCTCTATGTGATGCCATGCTTCAGTGGTCATGTTCTCTGTCCACTCTCATGCTCCGCTTCCGCACCTGGTTTCTCTTTTCCCAAAAGATAAAAATCAGTAGTAGTGACAGAAATCTTAATGCCTTAGTTCTTTCTTGACAAGTATGAGAAAAGTGCTGATGCATTAGGTTTTCTCCTCGCCTCTGCCACTTGAAAGACCTGGGCCCCTACCTCCAAGACACGTGATTTCCCTGACCCTATCACTGACCACCATTACCTCACCCTACCTACCCTGCCCCCTGCTTTGTACTCGATAATTAAGTCAGAGTGTCCAGGCACTTGGGGCCACTGCCAGGCTCCACACTTTGTTGGCAGTGGACCCCGGGCCCAAACTCTGTTTTCTTTCTTGGTGTCTTGCATCTTTTATTTCTACAGCTTTTCCTCTCTACTCCAGCAGAGAGGGGCTCACAGGACCCTGTAGGGCTGGACCCTACAGTCTACCCTTGTCTATGCTTGTCCTCTTCCAATCTGTTCTTCATGCCACAGTCTAAACGATCTTCTAAAAATTCATGTATGATTATATTTCTCCTATATTCTTTCAGTAATTTCCAATTTGCCTTACTATAAAAACCCAAGTCCTTAAAATAGGACCTGGGTCCTCACGACCTCTCTCCCTCTGCTCTAACCACACTGGCTTCTTTTAGTTATTGCAACGCACCAGCTCACGACCTTTGCATATGGTGTACTCTGCGCCTAGGAGACATTCTACCACCCCAACACTCCATTAACAAATTATCTCCTACTCAAACTTCAGGTTTCACTCTAAGATCACTTCCTCAGGACACCTTAGACTAAGTCAGCCTGCCACTCTCTTCAATGCTAATTGCACCCTTTACTTTTCCTTCATAGCATGCCTATTTGTAATCATATACTTCTGTGACTATTAGATTGTCCATCTCTCTGCCACTAGACTGCAAATTCCTTGAAAGAGGGACAGTGTCTCTTCAACACTAGTGTAGCAGTGTTACCGGAACAGACCCCAAGAGAGGGTTCTTGCATCTTGTGCAAGAAAGAATTTGGGACAAGACCATAAAGTGAAAGCAAGTTTATTATGAAAGTAGAGGAATAAAAAAAATGGCTACTCCATAGGCAGAGCAGCTGAGGGCTACTGGTTGCCCATTTTTATGGTTATTTCTTGATATGCTGAACAAGAGGTGGATTATTTATGCCTCCCCTTTTTAGACCATATAGGGTATTCCTGACATTTCCATTTGTAAACTGTCATGCTGCTGGTGGGAGTGTAGCAGTGAGGACTGCCAGAGGTCACACTCATCGCCATCTAGGTTTCGGTGGATTTTAGCCAGCTTCTTTTCATCAGCAAGGTCTTTATGACCTGTATCTTGTGCTGACCTCCCATCTCATCCTGTGACTTAAAATGCCTAACCGTCTGGGAATGCAGCCCAGCAGGTCTCAGCCTTATTTTACCCAGCCCCCATTCAAGATGGAGTTGCTCTCCTTCAAATGCCTCTGACAGCAGCATCCTGAACAAAGTGTGGAACTAATTACACAGTTTCTGGCCTCAAATAGTTTATAATCTAACCTTGAAAATGAAAAGAAACAATTTTACAATTTGGGGCATCAATGCAAATGTTAGTTTCTTTTTTTGTGCAAGAAAGTCTTCCTGGAAGTCTGGAAACCTGAATACATAAGGATTATTCTAACCAGGTTGAAAAATGGGCCAAGGCCAAGGCCGTAACCAAGTGTATTCTGGTTGTCTAGGAACTGCTCTGACCATATTTCTGGCAAAATTGCTTCTTGCAGAAAAACTCTACTTCATTTTTTTAAAGTTTCTTTTGCCTTCTGTAGGCTTACTTTAAAAAAAGTATTAAGATCCTTTTGTGGTTTATTAGTGTGATGATTCAGTTTTTACACTAATGTGTGAGTTATGACCCCTACCTCAAACCTTGTTAGGACTCCACACATTACCCCTCTGTAGTGGAAAAAAAAAAGTAATAAAAGAAAGGCAATTTTTTTAATAGACCTATCCTTGTACACATGAGGTTTCAAAGTGTTTCCATCAACATTTTTACCTTATAGTACAGTGTCTTCACGAGTTTTTTTTTTTCTCTTTTTTTAAAATTTATCTTACTTTTAAGTTCTGGGACAGTTTTCACGAGTTTTAAGAGACTCTTCTTGGCAGACAGTTCAGCTCAGAGAAAATACTTTTACCAGCAAGGAGGTACACCCTGTTACATTGGTCTGGGAATATAACTTAACAGTTCACCTTGCCAGTAAGATCTCTCTTTCTACAGATGTCCGCAGAGGGGCAAACTCGAATTGTTCCAGAGAGACCACAAAATACTTGGAGCTAGTATCATGGAATATTCCTCGCTAAAGATTACTTAATAATGCGATGGGGTTGGGGTACGGGCACAGTGGCTCACACCTTACAGGTTACATCCCAGCACTTTGGGAGGCCGATGCGGGCAGATCACAAGGTCAGGAATTTGAGACCAGCCTGACCAAAATGGTGACACCTTGTCGCTACTAAAAATATAAAAATTAACCAGGTGTTGTGGCACACGCCTGTAATCTCAGCTACGCAGGAGGCTGAGGCAGAAGAATCGCTTGAATCTGGGAGGCGGAGGTTGCAGCGAGCTGGGATCACGCCACTGCACTTCAGCCTAGGCAACAGAGCAAGACTCCGTCTCAAAAATATATATATAATAAAAATAACAATAATGCCATTGGAAGACCACCTTTCAAGGTTTTTGTTCATGCACATCCTCCAACATCTTCCAAGAGGGTGTTTAAAAAGTTACCAAGGAACATTAGGATAAAACTGTCAGGACATCCCTAAATTGTAACTACGATGTCAGCTGAGGAAAGTAGAACATAATCAGGCTTTGGAGTTAAAAGAGCTGAATTGGAAGCCAGTTCCGAATTTAATGAATGAGCCAAATGAGAATGTTAAGATTTATCTCACAAGTTGTAGAGAAAATTAAAAGCGATTAAACATCCGGACCTTGAATAAGTGCCCGTCCACACGGGGATTAAATATGGTAAAGTCCACTTTCCCCATCAGCTGATGTTAATATCTGGTAGGTATAGTCCTCCTTTCTCTTCCCTAATCGGTTGGTCAGTATTTGCCAATTCTTTGCTGCTGTTTATCTTCTCTTTCCTCCATTTAAATCTCCACCAAGCGCTCAGAAAAAGGTCGTACCAGAACGCGAACCGAGCATGCGCATGAAGTACGCACGGGTTATGACCTTTTCCCGGTTCTCCGCCCTTTTCCCCATTTCTCCGCCCCTTTTCCGCAGCTGCCCGGCACCTCCCTCCCGGCTGTGCCCGCCCGCGGCCCCGCCCACGCGACCGTCACGTGACCGCACAGCGTGCTCCGCCCCTTCCCTAGCTCACGTGATCGCGCCCAGGGAGAAAACGCCTGACCCCAGCCCCCGGCCTTCAAGGCACGGCTTTTTCTTCTGTCGGCTGGTCGGCCTGTCGCCTTTCAGCTACCTGTGCGTCCCTCGTTCCCGTCCCGGGGTCCCCCCGGAGGCTATCGGCCATGCGGCTTTTGCCTCTAGCCCCAGGTCGGCCCGGGTGGGGCAGCCACCGCCACCTGCCCTCCTGCAGCCCAACGCTGCTGCTGCTGCTGGTGCTGGGCGGCTGCCTGGGGGTCTCCGGGGTGGCGGCGGGAACCCGGAGGCCCAACGTGGTGCTGCTCCTCACGGACGACCAGGACGAAGTGCTCGGCGGCATGGTAACTCTTCTGTTTCAGCCCCGCCCCTCCATCTCTCGGGCTGACTCCCCGGTGTCTTGCTCTCTTTCCCGGTCCCCACCCCCACTCCCCGAACTGGCTGTCTTGACCCTGGGTAGGTTTGGTTTTACCACCTGAGGCCCTTTACGCCGGTGTAAGGGACTGCAAGACTCTTTTCCTTTCTGTACTGAGGCACATGCGTACAGCACACAGAGCTTCTAGTCTGGACTGTACTGCTGTGGAGTTTACGTTAATATCTCAAGATAAACATGTGGAGACCGGTGGAGGATGGGCTGAACCAACGAGGATCAGGTGCTGGCTAAGAGCACTCAAGCCCTGATTGTTTTTCTTTTGGATTAGAGGATCAAAAGACAAGTCCAGTCCCCTTTATGAGAGACCTAGGCCATCTCTGCGTTTGTGCCTGTGTACAATGTCTATGTCTAATATCTGTAAAAATAAGCCTGAAGTGCACTGATCTGGTAGGCAGACCTTCGAACTCTTGAGGGTGTGTTTTGCCTCACAAGAAAATTCAATTGGTCTAATTAAACACCTGACGGTGTTCAATTAGAGACTGTCAGTGTTTCATTTTCTATCTAATGGGTGTTGTCAAAAGACTTCATTTTTTTCCTCCCAAGTTAATTTTGCTTGTGTGTTGCAGAATTCTGGAATGCGTGACCTTTGGAAACATCCACTCCGATCCCTTCCCCGTGGAGGCTAAGAAAGCAACTTGCCCAATACACATGAGTAGCTGAGGCAGAGTCTTCTGACCCTGGGTTCAGCATTCCTCTCTTCGCTTTAAAACCAAATGCTTTATTGCTTTATTCGTTTCAGTTCTTTTTGCTTTCAGCTGAATGCTGAGACTATGAAATACTCCAGGCAAGACGTTCCTAACTTTGCTTGTGCAGTTAGTTACACACCCTAACTTAGTGTCCTTCAAACCGCTGGTCCCAACCCGTGAGTGAGTTGTGAAATCAGTGAGTAGCTACCAACATATTTCATTTCCTTTGGAATAGAGTAGAATAGAAAATGTCCGTGTGTGTGTGTGTGTGTGTTACACTTGATAAAGGTAATCATGCCCCTCTGTCTGAATTGTCTATCTACATTCCTGAGTTGTAAAATATATTAGGTTGTGCTCAAGAGCTTGAGAGTCTTTTACAGCTGATGTCTAAGATGTTTGCATTTTGACTACACTTTCCTGCCGTATATGCTTCATCGTCTGTTAGTTTCTAACAAGCCATGTTGACAAGAGTCTTGATTTAATTTTCCTCTTGCACTTTAGTTTTACTACTCTTTTACTATTTTGTCTTACTATTTTATTTAAATTTTTAAATAAAAAATTCCTTTTTTATTTAAAAACAACAACAAACTGTGTCCTTGAAGAGTGTTTTGTCCAGAAAAAGCAAGTCTTCTCTAGCAGTGACTAAAGTTCTCAGTCAAAACGTCAAGCTTTTATAGCTATTGAAAACAAAATTCATTGCTTAAATATAAGGTATTGAGAATTCAGTTTCTTCAATTCTTATCAACCACAGCTGTAGTCTGTGTGTATTTGAGGTCTCTTCCTTTTAGTATGTTAATCCTATTTGTTTCGTTAAGCCAGTAGCAGTTTGTTTTTGAGTTGGGGTCTTGCTCTGTCATGCAGGCAGGAGTGCATTGGTGCAGTCGAGACTCATTGCAACCTTGAATTCCTAGTCTCAAGCAGTCCTCCTGCCTCAGCCTCCCCTAATAGCTGGAACTACATGCACATGGCACCACATCCAGCTAATTTTTAAATATTTTGTAGAAACAGAATTTCTCCATGTTGCTCAAGCCAGTCTTGAACTCCTGGACTCAAGTAATCCACCCACCTCAACCTCCCAAAGTGTTGGGATTACCTGCATAAGCCACTGCCCCGGCCCAGATTCTTTTTTAAAACAGGCGTTTCTACTGGAGAGAGGTACCGAAATTGAGTGGAGGAAACAAGTCAAGCTTAATGTTCCCAACTCAAGAATTCTGGCTTCTCTTCTAGCCTTTTTCAGAATATTCTACCGCTGATTGTCAAACAGGACTCCAAAGGGAAGAGCTAAGACAAGGGCATTTAAGAACTTACTTGGAGCCAAGCAGAGTATTAGGATTTTTATTCTTGTGCTTCATCACAGGAGTCCACTGCTGTGCATAGTATTCTTATCTTAAAAGGAAACTAAACCTGGAAGATGGTTAAGTGACTTGGCTAGGGTTCATATAGCTAATACTGGACAAAGCCTGGGTAGCTAATCTCAGAGCACCATGCTTTTTCTACTATTCTAGAATACTGTGATAATAATCAGATTTCATTCCACATACCCACACCAGCATAATCACACCATAGGTCAGAGAGTCTGCAGGTGACCTTTGGGGATGCCAGTGACTTCATGGAACTCCTTAATTTACATGTAAAACTTTGTGTATCATGTCTTCATTTTTGTGGAAAGAGAGCTCTAACCTAAAAAAGATTACAGATTGCTGCCATCATTGGCAAAATAAACAGTGGTCAACCCCCACCAGACTAACTCTGGTCAAAGGATTGTAGATAGCACTTATAACATGATTTAGATTTGTAGTGGAATTTTTCAGTGTCTTAGAAATTCTCTTTTATATAGTAGCATTGTCTTTAATTTTATTTGTTCCAAATATCTGTGGGACTCTGTTTTTATTTTGCCAGGGAACCTTTCTTGTCTCTTTCTTGATTTTACTTAAACATCATTATAGTGTGGAGGACACAGTATTCTTCACAGAAGCATAAGTTGCTCTTTTTAAAATCATTCACGGCCAGGCACTGTGTCTAACGCCTGTAATCCTAGCAGTTTGGGAGGTGGAGGCAGGTAGATGATGAGGTCGGGAGTTCCTGACCAGCCTGACCAGCATGATGAAACCCCATCTCTACTAAAAATACAAAGATTAGCCAGGCATGGTAGTGCACGCCTGTAGTCCCAGCTGCTTGGGAGGCTGAGGCAGGAGAATCGCTTGAACCTGGCAGGCAGAGGTTGCAGTGAGCCGAGATCGTGCCACTGCACTCCAGCCTGGGCAACACAGAGAGACTTTGTCTCAAAAAAAAAATAAATAAAATAAATCATTTAAGAAAAGTGACATTTGGCCAAAACCTCAGGCAAGTGAGGGAAGGAGCATCACCCAGGCCGGAGTGTAGTGGCACAATCTTGGCTCACCGCAGTCTCTGCCTCCCCAGTTCAAGCGATTCTCCTGCCTCAGCCTCCCAAGTAGCTGGGATTACAGGGACCCACCACCACGCCCGGCTAATTTTTGTATTTCTAGTAGAGACAGGTTTCACCATGTTGGCCAGGCTGATCTTGAACTCTTGACAAGTGATCCGCCCACTTTGGGCCTCTCAAAGTGCTAGGATTACAGGCATGAGCCACTGCACCCACCTGGGGAAGAATAAATATTTCATTGCTTCACTGAAAGCAAAACAATTTCCATTGTTAGCCACAGAATTATCAGAATTGTCAGTTCAGAGCAGCTATACATGGAACAAGGAAAGTAAATGACTCTTTGGGGTTTTAATGGAAAAGATTCTCCTTGGGGTGAGCAGAGTAACACGTTTGCCCATATGAGAGCATGAGACTGGCTGCTGCTTAAAGACTTGTATGGCCTTAACTTGACCATACAAGTTTTTTGTTAGATCTTTGCTTAGCTCTTAAGGGTTCATTTTACATTCTGATTAGCATAGAGACACATACACATTTAGGATACAGTATGGTTTCTTGTTTAGAACGTTTTCAGTTAAGCACAGATTATGGTTATATTTTATACTATTGTTAGCAGTATAAAGATTACAGTTAATACAAACTACTTTTTTTTTTTGAGACAAGATCTCTTCTTGCCTAGCGGGGGAGTGCAGTGGTGCAGTCATAGCTCATTGCAGCCCTGAACTTCTGGGCCCAAACAATCCTCTTACCTCGGCCTCTCAAGTAGCTGGGACTACAAGCATGCACTACCAAACTCAGCTAAATTTTGTATTTTTTGTAGAGGCAGAGCCTTGCTATGTTGCTCAGGCTTCTCTCGAACTCCTGGCCTCAAAGAGTCCTCCTGCTTCTGCCTTCTAAAGTGCTGGGATGACAGGTGTGAGCCACCTCATTGGACCTAAAGTCTAAATTGCTGTTCCGCTCTGCATGACTGACTCCTGCCTACCTCTCTGACCTCATCTTACCTCACTCTCCCTTTTCCTTCCTAAGCTGCTTCTATTGCCACACTGGCTTTTCTGTTCCTCCCAGGTGTCTCTCTCCTTCCTCTGGCAGCCCTCGTACCTACATACCCAGCCTGAAACAGCTTTGAATCTTTGCATGACCGGCTCCTCATCACATGGCTTTCCGTACTGAAGTTACCTTTGGAAAGAGAGGCCTTTCCTGACCACCCATCTAAAGTAGTTCCCTTTTCCTCCCACCAGCTACAATCACATTATCCTGGTTTATTCTCTTCATAGCACTTATCACCACCTGAAATAACTGTTTACCTGTTAGTTGTTTTAAGTCCCCAAGAGTGCTGGGATCCTGCAGCCAAGGACCATCTATCCTCTGTCCACCACTGCCTAGATTAATGCCTGGAACATGTTGTGTTTAATATATGGTATTACACAGTTTTCCTGTAAATCAGATATTCTTTCATAGTTTTACATATTTATCAGACAGTTTAACAAGAAGTCTCATACAGTTAACTCTGATGGTCCTTTTTTCCACTTACTCTTTGAATCCTCATTTCGCCTTCAAATGTCCTCATAGTAACTCAGGTTCTTTATCAAACCAGTGTTTCAGTGAGCCCAGTATTCTCTTCCTGAGGGTGGTACCCAGTGATGCTTTGAGGAGAGCATGGCTGGTGACCTTGCTTTGGAAGCTTGGCAAAGATCTTCTGCATCTCCTACATCTCGTGGCAGCCTCTTCTGTATCTACTCATGAAATCTCAGAGCTTTTTTTGGATAAATTAGAATTCTCATCCTTTTGAGCTTATGGATTCCATAGATTTTGTATTTATATTAAACAATGGAAAATCATTTATATATTATTGAAATTGAGGCTTCTATTTTACCTAGTTATATATTTAGATTAGCGATCTTTAAGGAATTATTATACAACAAAATATACTTAAAACTGCATTCAGTATGGTCTTAGGTTTCAAAGGTATTTCAGAGTCTTCATGAACTGACCCATATTACAATAAAACAGCCTCTTCAATGGTGCTTTTTGCTGTCTGGAATCTGAAGAATATTAGTGTTCCTTTCATTTGTATTGAAATGACTGTCTTCATACTTCCATCCTCACTCTAGAATGAATTGTTCTCTGTACTTGTAAAGATCTTAGATTTTGAAGAAAAGATGAAAAGCAAGGACATAAAGTTGTTTCTGAGTAGCCTTTTGCCTGACAGTGTTCTGCATACACCTGTTTACCACCTGGTTCAAGTCCTTATCCTGAAGTGCTAGTGGATCTATGCAGATGGCAGTAGCTGTAGTTGAACAGTGTGTATCTGGCCTGTACCACTGAGTGTGTGAAGTTTGAATCAGTCTCTGAGCCCTGGGGCCCTGACTTTCAGAATCCAACTGTTGTCTTCTGTTTCATAGGGCTGAAGACTCCCTTTATATCATTTCCCACATCCTACTTCTGAAGATTAATTCATTGAGATAGGTCTGCCTTATCTGGGGGCTGATAACTATAAGGGCACAAAGACGTTACTGCCACCAACTGAACTTTCCCTTCCTGCAAGCATTTTGACCTCCTGTACTTTTACACAGGATGGAGCTGGCTGGAGCCAAACCTGTCTCTAGAATCATACAGGACTCTGTTTGGCTGTTGCTTAGAGCTGACCGTTTAGAAATTAAAGATTAAGATGTAACAAAATAGGAATTCTTTGTGCCTTAATTTATTGGAAGAAATTGTCTAATGGATAATTACTTACTTTTACAGACACCACTAAAGAAAACCAGAGCACTCATTGGAGAGATGGGGATGACTTTTTCCAGCGCTGTAAGTTTTACGGCTAATTCAATTTTGTTAATCTAATCGTGTTTGTAGCTTGAGAAGAAACTCTCTTCTCGGGAATCTGGTATGATCTATTTGTTTTTTTTTCCTTGTTAAATAGTTCATCTGAAGGAAGGATTGAATGTGATATAAACTCTTTTAATTGAAGTATTACCTCTTATAAATTGAAGATTAACTGCAGATATTTCTAAGCCAGTCTCAGAACTAGAGAATTTTAAACTTCACCATTTGAGGTTTGAAAATGGATTGTAAAAAATCAAGTAATACGTACGCTGTGTTATCTTTTCTATGGTAAAAACCCAATTAATCCTGATAACCAGCTGACAAAAGCAACACACACACACGCACCATAAATATAGATGCAAAGATTCAAAACAAAATATCAACAATTGATTTTCAACCATGTACATAACAAAGTGAATGGTAGTCTAGGAATGTAAGAGTAGCGTACTATCAGGAAATCCCTTGAACAGTAGCATAGTGTTATGTTGAAGTGCTCAGACTCTGGAGCCAAGCTACCTAGTCTGGAATACCCTTTCTGTTTCTTGTCTAGCAGCGTGACCTTGGACAAATTATTTAAACTCTCTGGCCCTTTTTCTCCCCATTTATAAAAGGGAGTACCAAAATCTCCTTCAGAGTTGTTGTGAGGTTGAGTTAATATGTGTAGAGCACTGACTTCTTCTTCCCCACCCCCGCCAAGATGAATTCTCACTTTGTTACGCAGGCTGGAGTACAGTGGTGCAATTTCGACTCACTGCAACCTCCACCTCCTGAGGTCATGCAATTCTCCTGCCTCAGCCTTCCAGGTAGCTAGGATTACAGGTGCCCACCACCATGCCCAGCTAATTTTTTGTGTTTTTAGTAGAGATGGGTTTGCACTATGTTAGCCAGGCTATTCTTAAACTCCTGACCTCAAGTGATCCGCCCACCTCAGCCTCCCAAAGTGCTGGGATTATAGGCGTGAGCCACCATGCCCAGCCAGCGCCTGACTTATTATAGTAAATACTACATGATGTTGGTTATTATATGTCTATCGACATGATATAAATTATTGAAAGAAGGAAAATTGAATGTTCTTCCTAATGGATACTTGAAAGTACTCTGAAATTTTAGCATCTTTTCCTGGTAACATATTAAGCTATTGTAAGAATGCTTCCTGACTATGATGAATATTTCAAACAAATACATAAGGTGAAAGGCTCAGGGCAATTGCTGTTAGGAATAAAACAAGGGCTCCATTTAATGATATTCCGGACTGTCTAGTCATTACCATTAAGTCTTATGGAAATCAGAGGTAAAAATATTGGAAAAATTGTTTCTGCTTGTTTGGATTTTCTATCTGGGAAACACAGGAGAATTATTGAAAAACTTAAAATCACTAGAATTCAGCAAGATAAAAATGAAAAAATAAAAATAACTTTCTTCCATGTGATCAGTTAGAAAAATAGAAGGTGGGGGACAAAGAAAATATCTTATTCATAATTATTTATTTTTCTTTTATATAAAGATAGAGACAAGATCCTACTGTGTAGCCCAGGCTGGTCTGGAACTCCTGAGCCTAAGTGATCCTCCTACCTCAGCCTTGCAAAATGCTAGGATTACAGATGTGAGCTGCCATGCCCTGCCTCATTCATAATTTATGAACTTTCTAATAATAACTGGTTGGGGCCAGAAATGGCTATGACCTATGTAAGTTAAGTTACAAAACGATGTGAGTGGTAAGATAAAAAATATTTGATACATAGATATGCACATCATTTTACATACATTTCATTTCTTCCTTTTTTTTTTTTTTTTTTTT